GGTCTCTAGATTACTGGAGAGTCCTCCATCTGCTTTCCAGGTCTATCCACATGACCTAGGCTAATGGAAGGCAGATAGGGTTATTTCATTCATCCCCCCTGGTGGGAACGGGAGGCAGGTCTCTAGGGTCAGTCAAAACAAATGAGAAAATAACAAGGAAGATCAGTGAATGAGCAAGAGAAGCAAATCTCAAGTGCATTGTGCTAAATGAAAGAAGCGAGCTGCAAAGGGACCCATTCGGGCCTCAGGATTGACTCACACACTGCTCTGGATAAAGGTCAAATGCAGACAAAAACGGATCAGTGCTTGCCAGGTAGGAGTAAGGACTGACTATAAAGGATAAAGAGAATTTTCCAGGCCACAGATATCACCTTGGATTCTCCTGGTTACACAGCTATATGGATTTGCCAGAACTCATCTAAAAACACAAAAGGAGATAAATTCCAGGGGATACATACAAATTATCACTCAATAAATCTGAATCTAAGACACAATAACTAAGTCAGGTGTGGTGGACCCACTGCTGCAATCCTGGCACTCTGGAGGCTGAGGCAGGAGGATTGTGAGTTCAAGGATCCCTGGACTAAATAGCAATAGCGAGACATTGTCTCAGAAAACCCAAACAATGATAAAAAGTCAGTAGGCAAGATAACAAACCCTGAGGAGGAGGCAGAGTGGGAGAGGCCAGGCCCATGGAGGCAGTGGTATGGGGAAGAGGATTTTCCAGCTGAGGAGACTAGGAACCCTAGAGAACTATCTTCAGGAATGTTTTACAAGTCTTTTGGACAACAAGGACACTTGAGGAGAAATTAGGTTCCCACTAAAAGGGTCTCAGTTGGATGTGTTACTTCTAGATTTTCTTTGAAACAGGGTGGCCAATGACCTCTTCTTGCAATTCTCAAGTCAAGGCTCCTCTCCTGACTCAGGTTTTGTGGCTTTCTTGGTATCCACTGTTCTTGAGACAATCTTTCAAGAAGACTGGGGGCCAGTTGCTTGGGCTTGGAAAGCCCTACCAAGATGTTCTTGGGAGTTGTGGGAGTCCCTGTCTTGCCAGCCCAGTCCTGGGGTTTATGTCTTATCAGAAAACCTAGTGGGTCAACAGACTACTTGGCCCATGAGTCAAGATTCCCATACAAAGACACTCAGTGAGGTGTTGGTACCCAACTCTGGTGGGCCTGGAATGTACACTGCAGACAGACAAAGATGGATAATCGCTCCAAGTCCAGTCCTATATGTGACAAAAGAGCCAGGCCGGGGCTGTGAATCACAGAGCTGGGGTCCTAGCAGTGTGACTCTCTCACAGAGCAAGTACTGTGCTGGCGTCTGTACAAAGCGCTTTTACAGACAGGCAACACAGAGGGAAGCAGCCCATACCTGGAAGTTCTTTCAAAGTCTAATTTACAAACTATTCAAAAACATGACTATCACCCCCTAGCCTATAGGGTGGACCCAACTTAATGATGAATGTCATATTTGGAGGTGCTCTCGTGGCTTACTATTGGTTTTGGTGATGTGATGGCTATTTTTGTCAACTTGACTACATCTGAATTTAACTCCAAAATAGAGGGCATAGCTGTGAGGGATTCCCGCTTATTTTGAAGAAGGGAGATCTATTTCTAGTAGATCTAAAGATCTAACTTGGATCTTTGAGGTAGGAAGACAATGCTTTAATGCAGATATTTAATCCAGATCTAATCTGAGCCACACCTTTTGCTGCAAGCCTATACAAAGACATGGAAGAAGAAAGTTTTTGCGCTTTGCCGTCTTGCTGTCACATTGCTAACCAGTCTGTTCCTTCACTAACATTGCAGCCTACTTCTTCAGGGTTCCAGTCTTAACACAGCTGGGATATCCAGCCTCACGGACTGAACAACTACTGGACTCTTGGACCTTCCTTCAGAGGCAGCCATTGTGGGATTAGCTGGACCACAGCCTGTAAATCATTCTGTAAGTCCCCATTTTCTCTTTCTCTTGTCATATGTATATATGTACACACACACACACACGCACACACACACACATACATATACATATATATTCATTCTATAAGGTCTGTTATTCTAGAGAACTCTGATTAATACAGGTCGTGACCCTTATGCAACTTGTGAATAGAAAGATGCAGTAGATGTTTTTCTTTTTTAAGTCCTTTTGTCACACATCCAACACAATGACATTGGTAAATTATTATTGCCAAAGCCAACCTTTTGCCTCTGTACAACTCAAAAGTGAACTTGAGCCTAGAATCTACAATTCTTCTGGATTCCAGACCACTGAGCTGCTACAAGTGGGTGCCATACCCTCTGCTAAGGAAGAGGGTTGTTGCCTTATGTGAGGGGTGCTGGCTGGCCAGAGCCAGGCATGGAATCAGCTAAGAGGGACTTACTTCCACCCTTCCCACTCTTCTCCATCCGGTACTGGTAGATGTGCAGGGTGAAGAGCATGTGGGAGTTACGGTGGTCATCCTCATCACAGTCCTGTTGGTTGCTCCGTCGCGAGGCAATGGCAGCATCCAGGAAGAAGGCAGCCTTCTCTGCGGTGGGGGCCCGCAGCTCACTCTGGTTCTGCAGCTGGAGGACAGAAAGCGAGAGCTGAGACCTTCAGGCTTCCCTCCTGCCTGGGGAAGTCTCAGTCCAAACCGTAAGGCCAGAAGTCCTGAAACAAGGTTCTATACACAGCATAGCCATTTGTTTCTTTTTCCATTTTCATGTATGTGGTACACACATGTATATATGCATTTTGCATATGTGTGGGCACACTTGGGTGCATGTAGAAGCCTGAGGTTGACATTGGGAATTATCCTTGATTGTTCACTGTGACAAGGTATCTCAACGAATCCCACAATTCCAGATATAAATAGTCTCTTGGCTAGTCTGCTCTGTCTCGCTTTAGAAAAGTGGTTCTCAACCTGTGGGTCTTGACCCCTTGGGGTCAAATGACCCTTTCACAGGGGTCATCTAAGACCACTAGAAAACACAGATATTTACATTGTGATTCATAACAATAGGAAAATTGCAGTTATGAAGTAGCAACAAAATAATGTTATGGTTTGAAGTCACTACAACATGAGGAACTGTATTAAAAGTTTGCAGCATTGGGAAGGTTGAGAACCACTTTCAAAGTTAGAATCAGAGGCAGACTGTCACGCCCACCCAGCATTTACACGGGTTCTGGGGATCCGAATGCTAATTCTCACGCTTTTATTGCTAGCGCTTTAATGGCTAAGGAAGCCCAGCTTAGTTGATATGCTTTTGAAAATGAATATTGACCACGTTTATTGGCTGTTACTTGGTTTTAGTTATTTTACAGCTGGCGAGTGGCCGTATGGGCATTAGTGAAGCACATGCCCATCTTTATGGACTGCCGTCCTAGGTCATTCATCTACTAACAGAAGAGATGTGACTAGGTCTTGACCTTGGCACTGAGAGATGTGGTTTTACATCTTACGGGGAAGAGACTTGCCCATCTCTCAGTTACTTAACAAAAGCAAACTTGAGGTCACATTTACCAGCATAGTCCTGAACAAGAAGTACATTCTGATGTACTTCTTGACAATTATGACAATCCTAGTTGTCAACTTGACAGAATGTAGAATCACTTAAGAGATGGGCCTCTGGGTATGACTCTTAATCATCACATAACTGAGGTGGGAAGACCCGCCTGTATGACTGGGACCAGCTGTTTCAGGCTCCTGCTGCCTTCCTTGGTGTTGACCTTCATCTGGGAGTCATAACAAAGACTTTCTCTGTCAAGTTGCTTTTGTTAGGGCATTTTATCATAGCAACGGAACAAGCTCTAAAAGGCATGTAGAAACACCTAAGTAATTTGAAGGTCTCATTTGTATTTAAGAGACATACATCTGTTTTTGTTTTAGTTCCTGATCCTGAATTTATGCTCAGGGCAAACTCGCCAGTGATTAGAAAAGACGCAGTGGGAGCTGTGTCAAAATCTTGTGAGAACTCTGGGTCTGAATCCCAGAACTCCCCTTTGTGGTGGAAAAGGAAATCTACTTTTTGGTTTAGCTGAGACAAGCTCTTGTTCTCCCTCACACTCCCCATAGCGAGCAAAATGCTGGCATGACAGGTGCATGCCTGATTCAGCTTGGATTTTTCAAGGAACTGATTTGCAACATGTCTTAGGATTGGTACAAATTACGACAATTTTCTACTCTGACTTCAACCATACCTATAATTTCCAACTGCGAGAAGAAATATTTGGTGCAGGCAGGATTTGCAAACTAAGACCATCTTTCAAAACCTTGAACTTTGAAGGGGTTTTTAGTGAATGTGTGTGTTTTTGAACTTACTATCTAACCTAAACTAAAGAATCACAAACACTTTAAAGAAGAGTTTCAAGAGATCATTACTTTTATCTTATTTACCTTCCATTAAACAGATCTTTACTTAAGAGAACTCACAAATAAATCTAAATTAAAATGTGTTTGATTGCCCTGTCAAGCTTGCAGCAAGAGCAGTAGCCAGGGTTCTTCTACCTTCATCATGGGGGCTGTGCATGAGCATCTGGGTGCTCCTGCCTCCATCATGGGGGCTGTGCATCAACATCTGGGTGCTCCTGCCTCCATCATGGGGGCTGTGCATCAACATCTGGGTGTTCCTGCCTCCATCATGGAGCTATGCATCAGCATCTGGGTGCTCCTGCCTCCATCATGGGGGCTGTGAATCAGCATCTGTACATATGTTATGCTTCAGAGTAGCAATTCCCTGGATCATAGGGAACTCATTAGAAATGTGCATTGGGGGGTGATAGGCTTTACCTCATATGGAATCAGACACTCTCCAGACAACTCTGGTGACACTGCAGGGGTTTCCAAAGGAAATCGGAAGGTTCTGAGTACCTCTAACAGGGGTTGAGCAGGGCCAGGCTCGAAGAGATGGGTGTAATACTGGCTCTGGGGCATTCCCACCCACAGAAATGATCCAACTGGTAGGAGGTGGGTACTTATCAAAGAGACACCTTTCTGAAACAGGAGGCACTTGGGACGCCTACTGCAGGGGACTGGTAGAATTGACTTTCTGGATATGAACCAGAGGAGCCATCAAGCCATCACATGTTACACAGCAAAAGACAGAGGCACTCACTACAGGCCTGACTTCCTGAAAAGGCGAACAAGAGCTTCTCTTGGCTTCTATGGTTCTCGCAATTATATCACGGTTCTAATTAGAAATCGGTTATTAGTTTTCCCACAGCACTGCTAATCCGGTTGCAAAGCTGTGCCAGAAACACAGTTTATAGAGCCATAAACAGCCCCAGGAATGGCTGCAGCTATTTGTGCAGAGCAGTAAATATTTCAGTTTGTTGTTAAACAAAAGAAAGATTGTGCTTCCCCCACCCCTTCTCAAAAGGCGTCAAGAAAGTGGATTCGATTTCCCCCAAATGCTATGACAATTGTAGTTTCTGCTCATTGTCAGTTAGATTCAAGGTACAAATATTTAGGTTGGGCGAGCAGATGGCCCCACAGCTGCAGACCATAAAGTTCCAGTCCACTTAAAAGTAAACACTCATAAGCCTTTCCCAGTTTGCATGGTACGTGACTCCAGGGCTAAGATGTCCCATCCTCCAAATACCCCCCCCACACCTAAGCCAAGCTTCCAAAGCTGTCACCTGTGTGCCACAGATGGGGTCCTCACAGAGGTACACGCCCGGAGACTGTCCATCCTGTAGGCTGCCCGTGGCCACCTCGGACAGCAGGTCCCGAAGGTTCTCCTCTTTGCCCCACACCTCAACAGCCGAGATCCGGACTGAGAATCGGGCCCCGGTCTTCTCTTTGCGCTCATTGATGAGCTTGAACAGCCAAGAAATAGCACATGGAATGATGCCCAGGTTCTGCATTGAGTCGTCCCTTCCAATCATGGTGTAGGATTTCCCTGTGGGAGCCAGGGAAGATAGCGACACAGTTGGAGAGGCCAGACATCACTCTATATAGCCGTAAGAAACAGATGCCGAGGAGGACGCAGGAGGAACGTGTGGGGAACTGGGAAGAAGGCAAGCCAAAGAGTGAAAAGACCAGAAAAACCGCAAACATTTCCTTGCACTGGTGATGAAACAGCTCTAGGAAAACGTGAGAGCCCAAACAAACGACAAGATGAAATCACACAGTACCTCGCAGAGGACCTCAGACATGGCAGGCTATGTGCTTTCTCCATTGTCCCACATGAGGGAGGAAGCTTGGGCTTTCCAGCACCGTTACGATCCTTTTTATAGCCACCCCACAGATTAAATCCACACACTCGGGCTTTATATCCTTTCTCAAGTTAAATGCTGTGTATTTTTTTTTAATAGCGCGAGCAAATTCCATTAAAATCAGGATCCCTGCTTTGATCTGTGATCAAGAAGTGAAGAAAGGAGTGGGGGTGGGGCATGTAACAGGCTCTGTGATAACAGGGGATGGGCCTCTGTGCCCTCCGCAAGGCATGATCCCTTCTACCGGGGACCACTTTTTTGAGCTTCCCAAATTGCTAACTCATTCTGCATGCCATACAAGACCTAGGAGCAAACAGACAGCTACAGGTCAGGGCAGGGAAGAGGGTGCAGAGGGGATTTAAGTCAGTCCTGTGCAGGGCTAGCTGGTGGCTCCTTTCCACATGTGCAGACGGGGAGGACCCCTCACAGTCTGAATGCTGGAGGCAAGGACAGCTTTGCTTTTCCCATGTGGGGCTCTGCTTGGAGATGCCTCCATTAGCTCCACCCACCTAAAATCTGCTCCCCAGACATCCCCTGTTGAGGACATGCACACCTTTCCTGCTCACCTTCTGGGACTGACTATAACCTAGACCAAGTAGAAACACTTTCGCTATCCCGTTGTTTCCCCTCTTGGACTTGAAGCTGTCCTACACAAATAGGTGTCCCCTTAGGACCGACACTTCCAAGTCAGACGTGATTGTTCGCTATCATTCTGTTTGGCACCGAAAGGGAACTTAGCCCTTCCTTTCAACAGAGACTCTAGACCCAACCCTGAAACGCAGACGAGGTGACAGGAAACAATAATGTGCCACACAAGAAGTCGAGTCTTCACTCACCCAGCTTGGCGTGGCCAAAACAGAACACACAGCCATCTGCCCCATTCACCACAGACTGGATCACCTCAGCCACCGTCCCGGCACAAACTTCAGCCTGGAAGACACAAGAGGAAGCACAGGTGTTAAGTGTGCCATGCAGCACCCTGAGGCACCCTGACGACACAGAAGTGCGTCTACCTTCCCGAGGCTTAGAGTCCTAGTGCCACCACATTCCCAGATGGTCCAGCCTCTGCCACATGGAACTTGGAAACCTTTGGGATCTTCCATTCTTTGCTAGCCTGCACGTCAAGCACATTGGCTCTACACCTCCCTCCCGTAACTGATGGTGCTCTCCAGCCTTAGATAGATAAAGTAGATACCAGGGAGAATGTGATGGGTTCTGGATCCTATTCCCCTCTGTCACCTATCATTCTGAATTCCAGCCTCCTGGGCAAGGCACTCAACTCTCTACTGACCCTCTGCCCACTAGAATCTTACCCCCCAACACACATGTATGCATACAGACATATGTACGCACGCACACATACACACACATCTCTGAAACAAGCTAGTCATAAGAGGGGGGAAACATGACTTCCGTTTCAGGATGGAAACCCCGAGGAACATCTTAATGGTAACAGAATTGAGAATTTCCAGACGTACATCTGCTTCCTCGCCCTCCCTCCTTTCTTTGCTCATGTCCCGTGTTTGAAAACCTCTCTTCCTATCCAAACACTCACTGTAAACAGCATCAATTGCCCACACCAGTGTGTTATCTGAAGCGCTCTTTAGCTGAGTGCACCTTGCCTTCAGGGTGCTCATTACACCCTACACAGAGACCAGGTTCTCCATCCCTTATTTTCCCCCGCCCCCCTTTAATGCTCGATGACAGTGCATGCTGCAAACTAGAGGCATCCAACCAGGTTTGTGGACCACCTCAGAGATTCGGAAAATCCCCAGTTAGCATCTGAGGCTTTCACAGCAGCAGGAGGACAGAATTATTTTCCATGTCTCGGTGCCTCGTCTTCGCTTCTGTCTCAGGGCTGGCGTCAGAGCCCACAGAGGCCCCAAGAGCCGTCAAACGCTGGGGCTCTGCAGCCATCAGAGCAATGTGCCTCCCTGTGGGAATCTGAAAAGCAGCAGTCTGGGCCATGAATGTAGTTATTCAGCTCCGTGGCGCAGCTGCGCAGTGAATCTAAGTATCTGGAAATCAATTTTCTCTCCCAAACTGAAATTGAAAAAACTGCACTCCCAACAATTGTCAATTGTTCAGGGGTGGTCGCCTCAGCAGCTCTTCAGGGGTCCCCCTCAGTCAAGGGGGTGGAGGGATGGGGCTATGTGAGGACCGTGAGATCTTATAAAAGTCCCAGGACTGAGGCAACAAGAGTCAGGACAGCATTAAAGCCGAGACTGAAACAGTAGAAAGAATTGACCAGAGTTGTCTCTGCAAGAGCAGGGAAAATCTCCTGCCCAGGAGCCTGCCTTTGAGTATGAAAGGAGGTAGGGGCTGGGAGACTGTCAGCTACTGGGTCAAACATAATATGAACTACGAGAGTCTTAAGTCACCTAGGAGAATCTGGGCTGTGTGGGGAAAAAACTGACATTGGAGTCACCAGGACAGAGGCCAAGGGACAGTGGAGACACAGGAATGGCCCCATAGAGTGTCCCATAGGGTGGTCCGCACACTGCCCTGTAGGGCTTCTGCCTCACTATTCACAGAGAAGAGAATGATGAGAGATTTGCTTATGTTGGATGGTTAAGGGATGACAATGATCTATAGAAACTCCCTACTGTCCTTGCCCATACTCCCAGAGAAGCAGGAAGGCCTCCCTGAGCACACAGCTATGGCAGAGACAGCTCTGCCCCAGGCCCTGCTCACTCATCTACAGGTCTGAGTCCTCCCCACCTACCCCTAAGTCAGATCCAGCGAGGTTTGTACCAACCATGGGTAGCCATGCTGCCAAGGCTATTTGGGAATAACAAGGATGGTTCCTAACGGCAAGAAGGAACAGGACCAATCTTATCATTACTCAGTGCCAAGGAGATGGTGCTTTTAGAAAGAGGAGAACAGAGTTCATAGATGCCTGGGGTCACCACAGCAACAGCTGATGCACAGGCAAGGACCTGAGAGTGGCCCTTGATTTTGGCCAGTGGAGTACAGTGCTAATGAACTGGTAATGAGTAACTGCTAATGAGTGGCCTCAGTTCAAAGCCAGCACATCTAGGCCCTGGACACTGCCATGTCCACAAACCCAGGCTAGCCCGCTGGACGCAGTGAGACAATACAGATACAAGACCAGGTGACCCAGACAAAGCTGTTCCTCACACGTACTCATTTTGTGCCTTGAGGTTTATGGGGTGCTGAGCCTATAGGACTGAGCTGGCAATAACTAGTGGTATCAGATTAATGATTATGGTTTCATCTTGATACAGACAGACAACACCTACTGAGCACCTGCTCTCCTAGCAGCCAGGGAGGCATATATATTTGTCATATAAGGACACTGAGACCCAGAGACCTGAGCAGCTTGCCCAATGGCACACTGCTAAAAACTGGTGGCTAACATGGACCTGCTGTACTGAGCGTATGAATATGGTGAATGAGGAGGTGGAGGTTTCTGGGGAGGAACTAAGATGACAAGGGTCACTGGTGGAGTCTCACTTTCCTTGTCTGCCATGTGAAAAGGATTAAAAATTCCCCTTTCTACCCTAAAGAATCCAAGGGAGAGTCCACGGCTCAATGCATGTGGAAGTTCTTGGAAACCGCAGAATCTACACTCTTAGACACCTGCGGAAAGCAGAATATTATGAAGTCTTTGAAATTGTAGCTACGAGCATCCTGAGCCTGGGAACCAAGCGAGAAATGTAAACAAAGACTAGCAATAAAAATGGCTCTTTTTTGTTCTGAAATAAATCTAAAACTCGTTAATAGTTCAGGTTTAATTTAGGGTGTGCTTTGGAATCCTTACAACTTCCCTAGATAGCATTTGAAAAGTTTTACCCCTGTTAATTAAATTATTTGTAGGCCATTTATTAGCCCCAGTGTCAGGTTTAAATTACCCAACACATTGGGTGGTACGACATAAAAAGTGAAATGAACAGAGAAACTGCAAAACTGAATCACCAAGGACCTCATCTTCCTATGGGAAAACTTGAGAAACAGTGTTCAGCTTCCCGATGGATGGCACCTGCGTGCCCTAGTGCCTGTTGGTGGAAAGCGGGAGTTATGTAAACACCAGTAGCCCTTATAATCACATAGAACACTGATTAACAGGCTGCAAATGGAGACAATGGGAGCTAAGATCCCCAGGTCAGCTGCAGCCTTAACTCGCGTACTGTGAAGAGTGCTGCATAAATCTTGGGAAGTACCTAAAAGTTTCTCAGAAAGGTACAGGCCCCCGATGTCTATGAAGACAAGAGAGGCCCTCCTCTGTCTATACCGTGGTTTATTCACATATGGGCCTATTCACCTGATTGCTAGCACAAGCTCTCCAATTCCATGTTTCTCCACTGATCCTGGTTGCAGGATGCATACCAGCCCCAGTTCCCCTACTGAGCACTCCACGACCTCACTGGGACTATAGTTCTGCTTTCCACTCCCTGTGGGTATGAGACGTCGCCTGCCTTTAATTCAGTTTCCTGAAACATTTCCCTTGTTACATGGCCACCCAAAGCCAGGCAAGAGCAGAGCTCTGATGGATCAGTCTCTAGCACTTTATTGCAGTTTCCCCCACGACATTCAACTTTTCCTGTTAACTGCCTTGTTTCTTCTTCTCCCCAGGCATGAATTTCAAGGGTGTGTGTGTGTGTGTGTGTGTGTGTGTGTGTGTGGTCTATGTGAGTGAGTATGTGTGCATGTTAGAGGTTGATATTGGGTGTCCTCTCTCTGTCTCGGCCTCTCTCTCTCTCTCTCTCTCTCTCTCTCTCTCTCTCTCTCTCTCTCTTCTCTCACTGATTCTGGAGCTCATCCATTTGGTAAGACTACCTGGTCAGTGAGCTCCAGAGACCCTTTCTTTACCTCCCCTGCACTAGGATTAACCATGCCAGTAACTCAGAATATCTGGGGTATTCTGGGAAGCTTAGAATGACTTCCAACCATGGTGATATGGATGGAGGCCTTGTCCGTCAGAGTATCCCAGGAAACACCCTCCCAGTTCACACTCCATTAATCAACACTACATGAGCCCAGAGGGAACTTTTGCCTACCTGAGAAGCATCTTGTGGGAAAACCGCATCAAAGGCAAACATCTTTGGAGGAACCTGGCTGCTTCTTTTCTGGAAGGCATTTTGGCCTCCACAGGTCAGGGGGTCATACAAGGTGATCTGCTTCTTCCGTGGATCCACCTTCAGGAAAGAGCTGGATTCTGAGGTATCTCGAGTGGATGTGGGACAGATACGGAGCATGACTTTCACCTGGTAAAAACCAAACATGGCAACAATATGGATCAGAGAGCTGGCTGTTTAACAACGAAGTGATCTTCTGCACGCGATGGTTTACCTATTTATGGTAGTAGTGAACCTTTTCTTGATACATTATGGTGAAATACACAATGAATCAGCCACCTAATCCTCACTGGGTCAGGGAAAGGATGGTTTATTTATAACTACCAGGTAGAATATTTTGATATGTCCATTAATGCAGAGTAGGCACACTGTGTTCTTTGTCTTCCTATTAATATATATTAAAAATTAACTGTGCCCTGGTGGCCCAATTACATAGATGAAAAGCTAATCTGGACTGTCAGGCTATAGGGGCTGGTGCAGTTCCCTTGAAGCACAAAGATCAATAAACCATGCACATAAAAGTTAGCTTCGTAATTTACTCCCCAGCTCAGCTCATCAGGGCTCTGGGAGACAAAAATCCACAGTTATTAGTGTCATCATTAAAGCCCCATGAAACGGCCTGTTTTTAATGGCCAGCATTTGAAATGCATTCCAAGGGGCAAGTGTGATAAAAGATTTCGTTTGTAACGTGTTATTTGGGATCCCATTACATGAGCAAGAAGAAGCTTCATTTGGGGGGATGATAGCATGTCCCCGTCGAAATCAGGAGGCAGTGCACGCTCACCCACCTTCAGAGTCACGGAACATAAGCATCTCTAGTGTTTATGACCAGTTCAGCTCCGCCCCAAGGATGAGGGTGGCAGCAGCACAGAAATGGACCACCTGCTTTGTAGTCTTAAGATGGGCAGAAATCAAGCAGAAGGCTAACAGAGATCTGGAAGCTACAAGTCTTGGGAGATTGATTTAGCTCTGTTCTCGGCTATTTTTTTTTTTGCTACGTTGTTTATTCAGTCCAGCATGTGAAAGGCACATAATGCAGATATGTGGGGCAGATAGCTGCAGAGACAGGTGATTTTAGTAATTTAATGTGGCAAATAGTGAATGCCCAAGGATGATGAATTTTCAAATCTTGTCCTTTGTCTAGCTAGCTGTTTGAACTGATGTAACTCCCATCATTCTTTGGGGGCAAGGCATGGTTATAATTTGTGTGTGTGTGTGTGTGTGTGTGTGTGTGTGTGTGTGTGTGTGTATTGCAAACACACATGGGTTCCCGTGTGTGAGTACATATGTACGTGATTGCACGTGTGCATATGTGCATAGCCAAAGGTTGACGTTGGGAGTCTTCCTTGATCACGCTCTACCATATATACCAGTGAAGACCCTACCATTTGACCGCAGAGCTTGGCAATCAGGCTGGCACAGCTAGGCTACCTGCTCCAGAGATCCCCTATCTATCTCTGCCTTCCATGTGCTGGGATGACAGGCGGGCCCCCACAGCCCACCTAAAATTTAGCCGGGTGCTGGGGACTCAAACTCTGGTAGTCACGCTTTCGTAGCAAATTCTTTACTGTTCCAGCCATCTCCAAAGCCCCTGGCCATCCATGTTTTAATAAAACATTTCAAACTTACAGGAATGTTCAGAGAATAATGCATTTCGTGCACAGTGGAGTATCTTGCACATCACAGCCCCGTTTGCTGAGACCTGGGAACTGACCTTCAGTGTACAGAGTTCAAGCAGGAATAATTCCAAGGCCACCAGGCTCATCGGATGTCTAGTGCTATACCCTATCTATGATTCTCTTTATAGTCACCATATCCAGTGTAGAATGGAGGTCAGGGGTCATGATGAAAGGATGCCGTTGGCCTCCCAGCATTAAAACAGTGCTTCTCCTATGTGAGACCATAAAATACTTACTGCCGTTTGGGGCTAGGAGCTGTGTTATATACCAGGCCTGTGCCATCATCTACATGATCTTATTTAGTCCTCCTGGAGATGCAGAGCATTGGCACACTTACCCAGATCTTACAGTAGAGGAAATGGGTACCATATACTGTTGTATTATAGCTACATTCTGTTGCTGTGATAAAACATTCTGCCTAAAAGCAACTTGGGAGAGGAGAAGATTTATTTGGCTTACACTTCCTGGTTGCAGTCCATTATTGAGGGAAGGAAAGGCAGCAACCTGCAGCAAGAACCTTGGAGCAACACTGCTGTCTTGCTTTTTGAATCACTTGTTGGCGCATGCTTAGTTAGCTTTCATATATAGCCCAGGACAACCTGCCTAGGGATGGTACCACCCAAAATGCTAGGTTCCTTCAGCATCAGTTAATAAGACAATCCCTCAGAGACATGCCCACAGATCAACCTGATAAAGATACTCAATTGAGACTCTTTATTTGGGTGATTCTAGGCTGACTCAGGTTGACAGTTCATACTAACAAGGCCACACACTTTGGCCCATATTGCTGTAGCCGTAGATGGTAGGGCTGGACTGGACTTCTATTTAGGGCCCCATGCTTTCTCCATCTGGCTTCTATCTCCCACACGGTCAAACTCCTGGGAGCCTCACTTTCCCCATCTGTTTAACAATGCCTGCCGAACAAAACTGTTGCCGGACTTGTAAAAGTTGTGTGTGAGGCACGTAATGTGGAGCAGAGTACAGAGAACTCGATTCCTCTTTTCTCCATGACTTACTCCTCTTTCCAATGACCATGATGATGCTAAAACTACATAATGCCTTGACCTGGTTTGTGAGTACCATGTCACACAAAGAGGATCCCAGAACAGATACTGTAAATATGGGTAGTTACTAAGTACAAGACATAACTAGGATCCTACCAGGTCATCACCTTTAAGCCCCACAGCCACCATGTGCAGGCCAATAGCCACGATGATTATCTACCTGCCATTGTTCCTTGTTCCCCAGCACTCTCTATAGCCTGATGCTTTAACTCTACTCATGAATAGGTTTGCCCCAGTTATACCACAGTATGCTCCAAGCAGGTATCCACAGAACTGCTTCTGATAGGTAACTGGGTCCCCCACGCTTTCTGCGAGTATCTCTCCCCATTCAGCTATGAACCACACAAGTCAAGGATGCTGCGACTCCAGGCAGAACTGATGGAGCCCCACGGCCCACTGCTTTTCTATTTGGCAATTTTGCAAGCCATTCCTAGGTAACTAGAGGTGCTGAATGTGAAATGTGAGCTAGGCTAGGCAGAAGCCCACATGGAGAAGAAGGCAGGCAGGCACTGGCTCAGTCAGCCATTTGAATGGCAAGCATATGCCTGCATCTTAATGAAGCACACGGCCCTTTTTCTGCAGATGAGCTAAGCCCCAGCCTGATGTCTAGCTAAGGAGATACACAGTTCCTTAAAATCCCATTGAACTCAGAGCTAGGGAAAATGCCACACTTCATTCTTTTCTCTGCAATTCATTTAAATAAATGGAGGGCTTTCCCCCTCCTAGCAAAGAAATTGGGTTTTTCTGCTTGGCCTCCTTTTTGTCATTATTCCTTTAGTCCTGCACTCCACTTCCTGCTTAATCCTCTGTAATTAAAGAGCTTAAGAGACACCACTTATGATCAAGAAAGTTCCTCGGACGTCTTGCCAGGAGCCCTTGCTTTTGTTGCAAACACTGTTAGATTCTTGGCAACATCTTCGACCCTGCCCTCTGCCCTGCTCCTCCTGGAGAGTAGGAGCCGCCATGCACATTCAGAGATGAGCTCGGCTCTCAGGGTCAAGACCACAGTCACTTCCAAGAGTGGACCTGGGACAATGGGATCAGAGAGCTAAAGGGACAGTCTGAGTGGTGGAAAAGGAGGGGCAGACACCCAGAGGGGAGACTGGCAGTGTGGACCAAAGCCCTCTCTGCCTGGGAGCCACTTTGCCTCATTTGTCTAATTACTCAGGGGTTGGTGCGAGACAGCTGTTGCTCAGGGCAGCCGTTGTCTTTATGTTTGCTCATTAATCTTTTCAACACTTCAGGTGGATGGCATCCTGAGGGATTGTGAGACACGCATTGAGCGGGACTTAGTGCCACTCTCCCAAGTTGCACACACATCAACGAGGAGGTGACAGCCAGCTACCACCCATCGTATAGGAGGCTGAGTGGGCCCTGTGATCGCTTGCTGCCACCATCACATATAGTCATGGTCAGCAGACACTGTTGTTGGTCTCTAGTTATCACGGCACAGACCCAGTAAGACTCTTTATTGTCTGTTTCTCTCCCCAGAATCTGTTGACCTGGAGAGCTGGGTTCAGCTATAACTCTCAGGAGGGTTTTGGGCAGGCTGGAGGATCAAAGGGTCCCTCACCAATCAGAACAACTAGACAAGGCAATAAGGGGCCAAGAATTCTGAGTTTGTTCTCATGAAGGAGCTCACTGAAGTTCCTTCTGTGAACACCCACAGTGAATGCCCCTCAAGGACAACTACTAGACCAGGGATTGCTCAGCCAGTTGGCTGTAATCAATGCTGGGTAAGAAGGTGGCTGGCTTTCCTACTCAGAGTCATGGAGGACAGCATTAGATGAACCACTGCATCTTTCCAATTCTTTCTACCTCCGTATTCTAATTCCCTTAACACAGACTTTTAAGAATCAGCTAAGTAGAAACCAGCCAAGGTGTAGATGCAGCAACCGACCCACATTGCTATTTAGAGTCATTTTGGTCTCATTCTGAGCAGGACTGCGGTTTCCTTAAGACTTCACATCTATGAGGTCCTGAGTCATGTGTGAAAACTTCCCAAAAAGGAAACCGAGGCAAACTGAATAGACTCATTACTGAGGTGTGGTGATACATGCTGGCAGCTCTAGTCCTCAGGGGCAGAGGCAGGAGAATCCTGGAAATCTGATGCAAGCCTGACTTGTATGGCTAAGACTACAGAGTGAGACTCGGTCTCAGAAAAGAGAAGCTGTTCAAAAGCTACCCCAGGAAGAATGGTGACGAAAAGAGGGAAGAACGCCACATGAGGGCCTAAAAGCAAAGGTTGCTGGGTATTTCAGTGGTCAAACGCTTGCCTAACATAAGCAAGGGTCACAACACACATGCACGTGCACGCACATGCACACACATACACGCACACACACACCTGCATGCAAACACCCATGTGCACACTAAGAGGTCATCA